AGAATGGAATGACTTAAAATTCTCCCCTATAAGGTTGCCCAAAAATCAGCAAATGAGATTGCTAAACACAGAATGATTTCACCTTTATTAAACATATGCTTAAAAGAAAGGAAATGAATAGTAATCAATTTCACCAATTTTAGGGGTATGATTAGAATTCAGCATTTTCAGGCTTTCCCCCCCTCTCTGTTCTCATATTCTTTTAATACAGATACTATTAAATTGTTACAGTCCTACAGGAATTAAGTTTAAAACCTAGGAGCTCATCCCTGTAAAATTGAAATCCCAATCATATGTATATAATTTGTTCATTTATTTAAGTTCACATTCCTATTGGCAAAGTGCTCTCTATATGTACCTGTGTGTGTGTAGCCAGATTTTAAGTTACTTAGGGGCCAGTNCAGATTTTAAGTTACTTATGGGCCAGTTCCTCCTGGATTGTGTGTTGTCAGCAGTGAGGGTCACATTGCCCTTAAACATCAAATATACATGATTTGTAATTACAGTGACTTTTAAGGTCAGTGACCATGCAGAATACAACTTAATAAATGAATACTACAGCAATATGATTTCCGTTCATTCCCAAGTATCAGGGGACCATAGCTTCTAACAGCCTATTATCGTGTTCTGACCTAACCTTCAAAATGTCAATAAATTGGATTATAATGTAAGCCATTCTAAATGTCTTTGAAGGAAGACAGATGAATGTTACGCTGTCATGAGTCTGTGCCTCTGGGAAGTCTGCGTTCAGAAAATCAGTCAGTTAATACTTTGCTATAACTGATACTGCTCTATTGTACCTTCATTTGCTATCAGCCAGTAATATTTTCACACACTCAGAATGAATGACTTGAGTGTGAAAAGTTAAAAATAAAATTCAAAAATTACTTTAATCTTGAAGCTCTTGACCCATCCAGTTTTGTGAGCTCTGGCACCTTTGATTCCATAGGTTCAGAATATGAGGCTGCTTCAGCCACAGTGTGAGCACATTTCCATATAGGAGTGTTAATTAATTGCAGAGGTGACTAACCACTGCTGAGCAATTACATTCGGCGAGGTGAACAAATGGAAAAGCAGGGAGGGAGCAGTCATGCTTAGAGATGTTCACTGCTGTCTCTCACCCAGCAGGCAGAAGAGATGTCTAAGTACATCTCTCTTTTTGTTAATGATCCTGGGAATTCTTTCTCAGCATTTTTTTTTCTCATAAAGAGCTCAAGGCACTCAGCTCACTTAGCCATAAGCACTACAAAATCTAAAAATTCCAAACGCTTTAATTAGCAGAGACAACACTGTTGCACAAATTTCTGCAGGCCACAACATGAATTTGTGAATACCTGCTCACAGAGGGGTTTCTGTTTGAGTCTCAATGATCCCTCCCTTCTCAGGATCCTTTTGGGTCCCTGGTGACCATATTTGTATATCTGTGGCTTTCTTTCCAGCCCTTACTAAATAATTTGGAAGAGTTGGCACCTAACCCAAGTTGGGCCAATGAAATGCTCTGGGGAATTATCCATTTGGAGCAGATAGATCCCAAGAAGGAAGTTGTTTCAGTAATATCAGAGCTTTCCAGAGGAAGTCGGGCACTTCCTAGAGCTCAGTTTCTTCGAGCTGCCTTGATTCCTTCCCTTTCTGAGCTATGATTACTCAACTTTTCTTGGTATCATAATGGTATTTGGGGCAAAAGAAGTTAGCTGATCCAGGAGATCATAGCTGAAAAAATATCAAGTCATGGGCAAGCCTCTGGTATGATGTATGGTTTCCCAAGATAATATCAATTAGATTTCTTATATCTATTGACCACTGAATGGACTGGTCATAACAGATAGCAATAGTAAGGTCAGTTATACTTTCCAAAAGTTGGTTTTTTTATTACTTGCAGCTGTAGGACCCATACACATGAGACATTAGTTCTTCATTTGACACACAAGGCTTTGTTAGATTTTCAAATTGCTTTGTAAATACTCCAGAGCCTCACAACGTGTGAATCAGTGGCTCAGCGTAAGATTCCAATGCATGTCCTGATTTAGATGTGGTGTGCTTAACTAACCAGGCGACACGTGTCTGAAAACATGGTCAATTAAGTGAGATATGCTGACCAGTGGGATTCAAATGATATTCTCAAGTATCTCTTAAGCTCTTTAATACTCTTACAAATAATAATTAATTCTAATTTTATGTTAAAATATTATAACTATTTAAAACTATAATAAAAAATAAGTACACTATATTGTGTTGTATGTACATTTTAATTCATTCAAAACCACCACACTATTAACTTATGCAGCCAGGTTAATTTATGCAGCACATGGAGCATTTTTGCTTTGAAACGAGTAAAGCTTCCTTTTAATTCATCATTAAGCACCAGCTAGAGATCAACTACTTGTGAATGTATCTAACCATTTATAAAGGTGTCATTGATTATAGAGGTGGTTACTTGGCACACAGACTTTTGTTTTTCACCTAATTCAGGGTAGCCTATGGCTGGTCATGTAAGATTTTTAGAAACAAATGTTTCACTGTTAGGATTTTCTCAATACTATGCTAATAAAATACAACAGAAAAATGTTGCTGCTGAGTGAGATTTAAGGCCCTAATTATATTCCCTGCTTTCAAATTTGTGTGCTCATTAAAATAGATGTCAGCATTTGAACTTATAAGGTAATTTTATATTAACAAAATACTGCTTTTACTTATTCATTTGTATTTTATATAGTGAGCCTCTGTATAAGATGTTTCATTAGTGTTTTCCTCAAGGGAAAAGGTTTAAAAACCACCATTGAGCCAAATTTCTCAACCCTTGGCACTACTAACATTTTGAAACATAATTCTTTACTGTTGGGGGCTTTCCTGGTCCTTGCAGGGTGCTTAGCAGTATCCTGGGTCTCCACCAACTAGATGTGAGCATCACGCCTCCACCACCAGCCTGACAATCTAAACTGTCTACAGATATTGTCAGATATCTCCAAAAATTATCCACTGGCTAATTCATGAGATCATAGAGCTGGCCACACTTTAGTAATTTATAGGTAATATTCATTTTTTTATTCATAAGAAGCTGTTAAACAAATACTATGGTAGGGTAGAAAGATAATTTTTTAAAGCATTTAAAAATATTTATTGTGTTGTCTCATGAAGTGTGTTTAAAACATTATGCAGGCCATAAAAATAATGTGAAATTGTATTTTTAGAAAACAAAAGATATGTATGATATAGTTTTAAGTGGAAAAAATTAACCAGTTCCTGTAATTATGGGAGCAAGAGGCAAGAAGGAATCCAGAAAGAAGGAATTTATCCCATAAATCCTTTCATGTGCTAAATTCTGGAATACAACTAGTCTTTAAATTTTTTGTAAAACACTTTGAAGAAGTGTTTTTAAAAATTGAACTTGACATTTTTTTTGTTCTTGCCTATTGCTCAAATAAACCTGATTAAACTGACCACCATCCTGCCTAAGAAAGGCTTCAAAGGGAATGTCCCAGTGTCGACGCTGTGAGCTTTCTTCTTTCCTGAGGAAAGCCAAAGAGAAATTGGAAAGGGCTAGGGTTTTGTGTAACAGTGTTTTTAAGAAGAAGGTTCCTGTTAGGTTAACACACATGACCAAAGCAATAAGTCACCTTGGCAGCCTCGAAAACACATAGGAACGAAGAGTAGTTTTTCAAATTTAGATACACTGTTGATGGGAGTGAAAATTGGTACAACCTCTACCAAGGGCAATGTGACAAAAATTAAAACACATTTACCTTTTTTTAAACCATTCTCTTTCTAGAAATAGCCAACAGATGTAATGAGACATAGTAGAGTCTACCAGTGTATTCAGAGCATCTTCATTTGTAAAAATAAAAACAGGAAGCCGTAAATGCCCATCAAAGGGTGACTGGGAAAATAAATTATGGTATTTCCATACAGCTGAACACATCACAGTAAAATTTTTAAGACAGCTTATTATTTGCTGATATAAAACCAATTCCAAGATACACTGTTAATGAAAACAAGCAAGGTTCAGAACAGGTAGGCAGCTTCTAAGAAGTCATCCCATACGAAGATATAGCTGTGCTTATATTTTTACATGGAATATTTATGGAAAATTTCCAGTATTGTAGCTCCTGGAGATTAAGGTAGAAGGGAAACTTTCTATTATTAAATTTGAATATTTTAAATTCTTTAAATTATGATTACATACTACTTTGTAAGAGAGGAGCATGTAAATTTTTTAAAGAAAAGTATGTTTTCAATTCCATAGTAATATGCAATGTTTGTAAGAGTAGATAACCTAAGAATTTAAGTTATTCTCAGATTCCATAGTCTAGAGAAACAGCCCAGGCAAGTGAAAATGGAGGGATAAGGGAAACCCAGGTAAGATATCTAGAGTCAGGGTCTTGAGGTTTGCTTAAACCGAAATTGGCAACTATATGGTGTGAACACCAATCCTAAAACAGTGTTCCTTTTCTGGTTAGATTGAGTATAGGGGGACCAGGGTCTCAGAGATGAATCTGACAAATCTCTCTAATGGTGGGTAATGTTAGGCACCAAAAGTTATGGAGGGCAGATTTTGGTGTTGTTGTTTTATTGTTTTATTATTAGGTTGTAGCAGGAGAGGAAGGTAGTCTTTGGTGCATAATGTAGATGAGCTGTTCATAGGAGGGACTTGCTGCGCATATTGGCAGAGACATTGCCAGGCTGCTACAAGAAGGGCCGTGGGATAGAAATAGCTATACTAATGACCAGCGCTTGTGGAGCACACATCTCTCTTAATTCTCACTGCCGTTCTCTGCAGTAGGTATTCTGATGGATAAGGGGACTGAGGCTCATGGAGATCAATTAAATAGCCCAAGCTCATACCACTAGTCAGCAGCAAAGCAAGACTCAAATTCAATCTGCCTGTCTTCAAAATTTTCAACCTCAAAATTTTAATGCCCACTGGTAGCATGATTCAGGGCTGGGAAGCCTGGAAATGAAAGCCTCACCTTATGATGCTATCTTTCTCCCTCTCATCCTGACAGAATCACAACCACAGCTGCGTGTATGATGGATCTACGGAGATATCCTCTGGATGAACAAAACTGCACTCTGGAGATTGAAAGCTGTGAGTTACTTGGACAAGGGAATGAGAAAGAGGGGTGTTTGCTTGACTCAATTAAATTCAACCTTGCCCTGAATAATTGGTACTAGGATACTTTCAGCTATACTACCAGCTTTTTAAGGGTTTCCCAATCTAGCGACATTTTCCCTTAAGCTGTGTGGCTCCACAGTCATATTAATGCAGTTAAATTGTTGAACCATTAGGAAAAGCCTACTCAGTTTAAGTAGACAATTTATAAACTCATGCTTTCTCCTTCTCAAAGTAGAGTTTCTCCCAGGGCGTTCTAATACCCAAGCTGCATTATCAAGTGAGAGCAACATTTTAATGTGTAAAGATTTTGTGAAATTGTTTTTGATTCTAAAGTCTGCCCATCTGAAGGACTGTAAATTGTTACCATTTAGGAAAACACTATGGTATATAGTCTTGTGTGACTTTGTCTTTCTTTGTAGGAATAACAAGCATCACGAAGCTTGTTATTCCTACAAGCCTAGGGCCAAAGACTTGATATGTTTTGGTTTGTCCTCTTGGACTGTTTTTCATTGATTGCTTTCTTAACAATTTGAATATTTTAGTCACTAAGATTTAATCTGATTAACTTTGTTTCATTGTTTCACAGCCATCAATAAACAGGCATTTAAGTCCATTTATTGTTAATACCAGGCCTAGGCTATTTCCTGGTTTTAAGGGGCACCTTAAGATACAGTAGCTAATTCAGAGCATTACAATACCACCTAATGTCGTGTGAGAAATAGATACTTATTTAAATCATTTCAAATACTTCCTAGATCCAAACATCAAAACAGTAAAAGAAAATACGAAAATTTCAGGTGACCTCATAGTATTATTAAAGAATAAATGTTCTGTACTCCCAATTATCTGGTTATTAAGGGATTACATTAATTTTCTAGTTTTGTTAAATGCTGACATAGAAATAGATAAAGATGCTAATGTAGATATAGATTCAGGCATAGATGTTGATCTACTACCACTAGAAACTAGAATGAACAAGAAAATTCATGACCTATTTAAGTAATAATCCAATTTTAAAATGCATTATATAAATAAGTTGTTGATAGGTGTTATTATGTGAACGTATTGATGATGACTTTTGGTGTAAATGCCAATGACAACCAAATTCAAAAGGTAGAAATGAAATATGAACTCAATCACTTATTAATGGCCAGTGATCATTGATAAGGCAGAACTTAAGCTAAGCAGGTAAACCATTAGCTTTTGGAACTGACATGGAAAGAGGTTAACTCATGGGTTGCTTCAATGGGTTGCCTTTTACTCTTGACGTCTCTTCCATGGATTGCAACTTTTTTACCTTTACTGCTGCTGGACAGCTGTAGGATATGACATCCTTTCGAAATTCAAAGACCTTATGGTTTACATCATTCACTTAAAGAAGTAATGAATTTGACAAGTACTTGAATTTGTTCCGTGTTGTAAATTATCAAGTGCTAAAATTATCAGCATTGATTTTCTCCTAAAATGCATATTTTATTTTATAATAGATATTGAGTTTTTCTATTATTATAGGTTATATTGTTCTTTAAGTAGGAAATTTATTTTATATTTAGAAAATAGATGACTTTTAGATCCTTATATTATATCATATAATGACCAAAACAGAACTATAAGTGAGGCAGAAATAAAATGTAACTTTTGTGGGGCAGGGATGGGGGAAGCACAAACAGTCAGATAGTCCAAAATAATCATAAAATATGGTGTCAGGCAATAGGTGGTGACTCAGGCATATGATAATCATTAAGGCAGTTCAGTAAGATGCAATCATCTGTCTGGACAGATGAATGAGGCAGAGTAACTGGGACCCTAAAGTCAGCTAATAGGTAGGATTGCAGGCAGATGGTGGCCATCATTAAAGTGACCCAACAGCAGATCACAGGACTCTAGTCCCTAAATATATTTACCCAAAGCAAAGCAGAGACTCGAGTCTGTAAGAATCCATGTAATGAGGAGTCTATAAAGGCAGGAACTTGGGAGAAAGGGGGGAAAAACAGACTGCCTTCTACTTGCTAGGCATGAATAGAACACCTCTGTAACATAAACATTTCTACCAACATTTGAGAGATGATGTATCTGAGGCTCAGAGAAGTAAAATAACTTACCCAGGGCAAGGATAGTGGTGAAGCGGGGATTCAACCCCAGGTAATCGCAGAGTCCTTCAATCAGCAGGTGAGCAAGGGAACAGAACATCATGATTAGAAGTACAGCACCAATTGGAACCACTCTCAGCTAGGCTGAGGATGCTGAATCAGCCAAAAACTCGTCTGTATTTCCTAAAATTATCCCTAATAAAGGTTAAAATAGGGCCCGGAAGCTGAGGCAGAACTGGCTTTAAGTCGAAGGTGAAATGATTGCAACTGTAGAGGTGGTAGCCTGTGGATGCAGGAAACCAAATAGTCTTTGATTCCACCGATGTTAACCTAAAAAAAATTAAAAGCCTCAAATGACAACATTATTTAGCTTTAATATTTTAGTTAAAATGTATCCCTTTTTAACAATAGATGAATCAGGGTAAAGAGATCTTCACTGTTCAGAGGAATAACTCTAAGCATCGAAGTAACCTGTGGTAATCATATGGGGTTCAGATGAGCTTTGCTTGTTCCTGCCTAAGTACATAATCAATATGCAGTCAGGTACCAATAAATACAGAATCTGTTATTCATCTGTTTTTAACTCTTCATGGAGAAACATGTGTCGCATTATTTGCTGAAGCAGCTCTCCCTGAATTTATGAAGACTATAACTGAGCTTTAAACTGATTACAAATGAGGGGCTTCCATGTCTGTTGGGAAATAAGAATGAAAAGGTAGACATTCCGCCAACATAATGTTCAATGGACCATATGTTTGTGAACAATAGAATAGAAAGGGTACCTACCTTACAAAATGTACTAGTTTGTATTCTCTCCCATCACAATCCCAAGGATGGGGCAATGTTTTGCTCAGTTAGGTCCTTTGAGAGAAATTAAAGATGTTTTGCTTTTCTTCAATGTCATCTAATCAAGTAAAATTGGAAAGGCCATAAAGCCTTGTTAAATTAAAATTTTAGTTGAATTTGGAGCAGATTAATAGCTTTCTGGCCCTGGGATGCTACAAAAACAGTTAATGGCATATAGAAAAATCAATCAAGAAAGTTAGTATTAAGAGGATTTGGAATTTGAAATCAATAAAGCTTTCATGTAAAGGTTTGATAGCCACAAGCTTCATGGGGACATAGACGGGCTTGGGATAACTATCTTGGAGGATTCAGGTGCCTTTTCCCATTCTCTGCAGCAATAATTGAGGAAGATCTTGACCCTAATCTCATCCTCTCAGTATAAGAAGATAGTATCACTTGTCACTGTATTTCAAAACAGTAGAAGCCATTTCGGGCCTGAACTCTCTCAGTGGGCTCACCCATCTTCTTCTAAACTTTCTTATAATTTCACCATTCTAAGTTAGCCCTCTGTATTTCAGAGAAAGAAGTGCTCCTACTTCTTTTATAGCCTGACCCTGGCTGCTGTGTTCAGAATTCTATCTTTCTTCCTCCTCTAAGAATCGATTCTTTCAAGTTCACACACACTTCCACCCCTGATCACTTACATCCTCAATCTCACCCTCTGTGCTAGGCCTTTATTCACAGCCTAAAAACAAGTTTAAAACTCTTCTCATCATAGACATCTCTACTCCCACAACTCCTCTTAATCTTTTCCTAATCTCTCTACTGCCTTTTTCTCTAAGCTACTTGAAATAATGGTCTATATCTGTTGTCTAGTACCTCAACTTCCTCTCAACCCACTGTAATCTAGAACTTGTCTACCCATCTCTCACCTGCACTGACACTATTCTCAGAAAGGTCACAATATACCTCTCCTTACATACCATCTTTATTCCAATGATCCCCAAATATATATCTCCAGCTCAGATCTCTTCTAAGTCCCAGATTATGTAATAGCACTCTTCTTGGTATGTCTATTTTTATGTTTCAAAGACTCAAAACTTAACTCTCTTTTTTCCCCTCCCTAATGAGTTTCCTTTCCAGTCTCCTTAATCTCACTATCCAAACAGAATCTCAGATTAATTGTTGACATCTCCCTTATACTCCTCCAATCCAATCTATTGTCAAGTACCATTCATTCTACCTGCAAGATATTTGTTGAAACCTTCTACTTCTCTCCAGCCCCACTGCAACCAAACCACCATTACTTCTCCCAGTATCATTGTAGCAGTCTTTTTATTGGTCTTCTTACTTTCATCTTTGACTTCCTTCAAACCATTCTCTACTCAGCATCCAGGGTGATCTTTGCAAGATATAAATTGGATCATATTAATTCTACACTTGAAAATATTCAGAGATTCCCCATTGTACCAAGAAAACTTTCCATACTTTTTTTTTGCAGTTTTATAACTTTATTCGACAATCAGTAGTTAGTTTTCATCCACATTAACTGCTTGTATATTTTTGAAAGTGGTGACAGGTATGTAGGCAACCAGCATACAGAGCTTGTTTGGTGAATCTTCACCCTCATTACGTTTTCTGGACAAATGCACCCTGATACGATATGGGACATCCCTTATTCCTGTGGCCCAGACAGCTTTGTTGACCCTGGTGTCGATGCATACGGCTGGAGTTCCCATATCTTTGAGTGCCCTGGAGGCACACTTCTTGAAACCCGCTCCACCGGCACACTTCTAATGCCGGTGTTTTCTCTGCCCACTACCTTGTTGATGGCAGAATGGCCCTTTTTCTCAGCACCCCTGTTTGCAGAAGCTGTCCCCCCAGGCCCAGGTTGGAGAGTTCCACACTTCTTAATTTGACTTTCAAGCGCCTAGGTGACCTCCCTCCCTCGGTACCTTTGTTTTCTCCTGCAGTGGGCCATCTTTCCCTTGCTTACTACACTAAACTCCACCATGGATTTTGTTTCTTGCAGAGCAATCTTTCTTCTATCCCATTGTCTTCACCACCTTGTTTCTTCTGCTCAAAATGCTTTTATCT